AACAAGTTTTCCCAATTTAAGTACATGGGACTCTGTTTATATGCTGGCTCACCGCAGCAAGGCTAAAGTAATGCTGTCACTTCTAATAATGCGTGTTTTCAGAATAGTTTGCTTGTCTCTGGTCAAAACTTTTGATTTATCAATACAACGATGAATACTGGGAAGCAAGTAACTCCTTTTATCAAAGTAGTAGGCTTTAAATATGTTCTATGTAGATTAATCTATTTGAATAGTACAAGCCTTCCTTTCTTTCCTGTAAGGCCATTTGCCCTCCTAGGCTGTATCCAGATGAATGCAGATGTGCAGTACGTGGTGCCACAGACCTGTCTGCGGTGCTACACACTGCACATGCAGGGGCTTCCTGTGCTGCTATTTTTCAGTGGTGGGGTTTTGTTTTTGTTGTTGGGGGGGTTTTTTTGTTTGGTGGGGTGACCCTGGGAGATCCTGGGGTCAAAAAAATCTACGCCAAAAACAAGTGGGGGTGGTGCATGTGGCAGCAGCACACTCTGCCCAAAACTGGAGCCTGACTGGCCAGTCATGCTTTGGCTATTGGCCGAGCTTCCTGTAGTGGCTGCAGCCTTGGCAGGACCCCAGGTGAGGCTGCTGGGTCCAACATAGGTGCTGGCCTCAGCCTCCCCTACCCCATCCAGGGTAACCTGCCATGTGCCACAGCACACACAACATGGGAGTTCCCCAGGGACAAGTAGCAGCAGCACAAAGTGTGCCCCTGCTGCTTGTCCCAGGGGAAACAAATGGCTGTTCTCTTGTGGATGCAACAATAAAGGGCTTTCATATTTGTGCTGTTAAGTAGGGCAGGAATAGCACTTCAGCGGTTTCACTAGTGGGCTGTGCATCCTTTTGAGGGCAAATCTTTCAGATTTCCTACTTCTAAGCAACTCCAGTAGGGTAGTCCTAAACTGTACTGGTGGTAAAAGACCAAGTTTCCTCCTAAACCAAATTTCGAACTCCTGTTTTAAAATTCAGTAACACTTGTACTAATGTTCAAACTCTCAGGGGAATGTGTATTGATTTGTCAGTGGCTCTTGGAGCACTCTATGAACTGCCAGAGTTTATGTGCCTTTGCTCTTCTCACCGCCTTCAATGATGTATTAAAAAAAAACAAAAAACAAAACAAACAAACAAAAAAACACTAGCAAGAAAAAAGTGAAGATCATTATAAAACTCACAATCTAAAATTCCAAGGCTAAGCCTTGTGCACAAGCTTGACTTATCTCCCCTCCCCCACCCACTTCCCTCTGAAAGTACTCCTCACTCCCCACACATGTATCACAAGCTTAGACTAATTTTCTCTTAATCACTGACTATATACATTAAAAGAAAAGTGAAAATAAACTGGTTTCATTAAATTTAAAAAAAAAAAAGTGGAATTTAAAGGTATTTGAATATTTTTTCTGACTTGTTAAAGACAAAAAAAAATTTCCAGCATATTTCTTCTCTTGAAGAATAAAACCTATCTGCTGACCCATCACTGTTAGGTCTATTGGTGCTCATAAATTCTTTTATTGCAGTGGTTGAGGGAAGGAAAAATCTTAGCAATCTGAAACCGTGGGGTAATTAAGCATTCAGAAATTGGTTTTAAAGTTCTTGTAAAGCAAACCTAAGCATAAAAAATACATTTTAAATTAATGTTATCTTAGATCATTCTGTCTGATGTGAGATTTACAATTGTTAGTTCTTGTGAGGTGTTTTTTGTAGGTCAGTTCTTGGTGGTTTAAAGGAAACCATCAGCTTTTGGAGTTACTTTCATAGAAAGTTTTTCACCTCTTAAAATTTTAGCTGTTACAATTGGGGAAATGCTGAAATTGAGTGTAAAGACTCAAGTTAGTGGACATTTTTTTTAAGAAGCGATCTTAACTTCTGGAGGTGATTCTTTGTTTTTGTATGCTGAGGTTTGGCAACACTGAACACAGGAGGCAGAAGAAGGTGACTATCTTTTAATCAGCGAAGTATGTGCTTGCAGATTGGATTTTACTTGAAATGTGAGGGTGCAGTCAGTGGTAATGCGTTTTTTGACAATGTAAAATGTGGGTGCATGGAAGTGAACAATAAAAGTCCTAAAGTTTTGCTTTTTTTTTTTTTTTTTTAAAGTTTTCAAAGTCATACAGTTGTCCTTAAATTGTTGTTGGGAGAATTCTGTTCTGCAAACTTCCATTATAACTACCTTTTTCCATTTGTGTACTGGACCTTACAGTCACCACACGCATACTTTTGAAAGCCATTCCTATTCCTCACTCCTATTATTGCTGAACAACTTGTCCCTTTTGGGCATGGAAGAGATCATGATGCAACTCTATTCTGAGATGAATTATAGAGAATTTTTCAGAAATACTATATGTACTATCTGGCTAAGACAAAGATTATGATACTATAAACTCAAGGATAGGTCAGTCTCTTCTGCTTTGCCTTCTACTGGCCCTCAGTGAGGAGAGGAGATGTGTACACATTTGAAACTTGGCGGTGGGGGAGAAGGAGGGAGAAATGAAGTTGGTGCTACTCTTAGACATTTGCTATTGTAATTAGGAATTTTTCTGTTTGAAATTTCTCACTTGAAGCTAATGGAATATAATCTGCTTCCAGTTTTTGGTTAATATGCAAACCATAATTGATCAATTCCTAATTATCACTGTTTAACATTTTTTGTATGTTCATTCATCTGGGCAATCTTTTAGAGGCAAGAATAGACCCAGCAATTTAACATTAAGATTAATGTTCAACTTTAACATTTAGGATTTAACAGTCCCAAGTGCCAAAGGCATGATGCATTTAGCTGTGTGAGCAAAGAGGATTTTTTTTAAAAGCATCCATTTAAATTCACATTAGAAGTGAACTTTAACAGTGCTTGAACTCCATAAGGAGTTTATACTCTGTGCCCTAAAGAGTCAAATCTCTTTACTCCTCAGTAAAGAAGTGAGGTTTGGGATGTCTTATTCTCCCTGTTAGCTTCTTCCACATGGAATTTGCCGTGTTTGCTCTGAATTTGTTTTTGTTGCTGCTTTTATGATTGTGGCTGTAACAAATAGCAGACTGGAAGGATAGGCATTTAAATTGCTGACATGCTTCTTGGTAAAGCATTTTGCAGCCTGGTGTCAAGATATTGGAGTGACAAGGTTCATGTTGCCCTGGGTGCGGAATTGAGCAAGACGGAATAAAGGTTTTCTCCTTTGGTTTGTCCCCCTTCTAGACCAGTGCGAAACTTGAACTAATACCTAACAGAAGTTTTCATTTGTCTCACTTTTTCCCCTGCTCCTTTTGAAAAGCTGATAACTAGCCTTGCCACTCAATTTGTTTTAGCCTTTTTTGGACTCGGCATGTGCAAATTAACATCCCGGTGATTGAAAACAAAACAAAAAGATGATTTTGGGCAGGATTCTTTGGCTAGATTGCAAAACCTTTCTGCTGCTCAGGTAGCATTTGGAAAGATTATAGACCTTTACTTAGTCAGAAGAGGATCCTCCTTGTATAGGAGAGAATTCTGCCTTTGTCAACATCCTTGTGCTGTCATGCTGCCTCTTGCAGATGTAGCAGAACACTGCTCCATCTGTTTCTGACTTACGATCCAGTAAGGACCCTATACTTGTGGTAGGACTGCTGCCTGTAGTGGCTCTGAGTGTTGTTGTTTTTTCTATAGGGGCTGGCCCTGAGAATTTCACGAATGAGCTCGCTACAGCTCTGTTCCCATATATTCAATGAAACATGTCTGACATAAGATTAAAAGAGTAGATTGTCTTGTAAATGTACTATGAGATGCCTTAAAGGAAATGTGGGATTTGAGTAGGTCTTCTGTACAACGCACCTTGTGTGCTGCTGCTTGCACTGTGGCAAATGAGAGGAGAGGTGCATTTTTTTCTTATGAATGGTAGGTTTGAAAATGTGGTTCCAAAAAACATGTTGCAAGTCGCTCAATCCTTTTAAGCTTGACTGACATTTTTATGGTACTGTACATATTGGCTTTCAAATGGCTTTATTAATTTACCTCTCTGATTTTAGCATGTACTTACAATACCAGAAGGGTAAAAAGTATATTATTTCTTTCCCTTCAGTGCAATAGAAAATTCCAGTGCTGATATTCCCGTAGTCAGCTCTAGTGAAGCTGAGCAGTCAGAACCTGACTGTGATATTGGTGGGGCACTTGAGGCTGACCCTCAGAGTGAGCCTTCCTCTTTTGTCAGTCCACCAGAGGGGTGAGTATTGAAGTAGGTTATGAGCTTGAATGACTTTAAAATAAAATTTCCTTTGCTCTGCTGGCCTTGCAACATATAGTCCTTCACATGCTCTGCTTGCTTCTGTCTCCATCTCTGTACATATTTGTATCGTGTATAAAATACTACGTGAAGACTGAACAATGCTTTAATACGATTAGGTGCTAACTTCTAATATTCTTACGTTTTCAGCCTTGTGGGTCAACATATAGAAAATATCTCCTCTTCACATGGCAAAGGAAAGAAGACTAAATCGGAGTTTGAATCAAAAGTTTCAGCAACTGAGAAAAGTGCAGATGAGCAGAAATCTGCTTTGAATGCTTCAGATAACTTAAAACGGGAGGTAAGCTGTGTCACTTAAAATCCTTCCAAGGCATGAATGAGAAGCAAGTACAACCAGTTTTAAGATAAATTGCAAAACAACCTCTTTTTCTTTCCCTTTCTTTCTGTTCTTTTTAAAAGAAGGGGGGGGAAAACCCTTCCCCTGCTTGTCCAGTAGAATTATCAGATTCTCATTTCCCTTTTTGTTTTAAGAATTAACATTTTCTTCATTTTAAGAAATAAAGCAGTCATCTGAGTTATAGCTTGTCTGATGTCCTTTGCAAGATGATTCAATAAAGACAGTACTGTGGACTGATGCTGTTGAAATTTTAAAAAAAGAAGAAAAAACTTCCAAGAAGGGGGATCAATGAGGTTTTTTAGGGGGGGGGGGGTTTAAATAATTAGAAGGACAATACTAGGCAAAAATGAGGCTTACTTCCAGCAGGCAAAGTTTGCATGTTAAATAGTGTTTTTCCTTTTGTCCTGTTCAAAATGGATATTGAGGAAGGGATCTAGAAAATGCTAGAGACATTTAGTTAGTGAGAAATGTGTCTGAATGGCACTTTGAGTTGCTTTTACTTTTCAGATTTTCATTTACAATTCTCTTCTTTAGCTGTCTTTCCAGTTCTGTACTGCAGTCAGCTGCGATTCACGGCACATTTACCAAATGTTAGTTTTGCCCTAAAAATCATTTTACCTGGATAAGAAAAATGCCTTTCTCTCAGATGAGAAGCTTTTCTTTATCAGTTCAGATTTTTTGGGCTAGAGTTCTTCTAAACAGCAACTAAAGATAAAATACAGATTTCTGATGACACCCTCCCATACAAGGGCCCAGCCTTATCACAGCCTTCAGCTGTTTCTAATTAGTGAACATCACGCTTGGCAGGACACTTGTAGCAGGAAAGTAGTCTAAAGGAAGTTGTATGACTCCTTTTATAATCTATCCTGTTCATCATATGCATTTTATCTATTGCTATACACTGTGTGGCATAAATTGTTTCTTGATTTAATGTTTGTGATTCTTACATTTTCTCGAAGAAAGCTATCTTGGCATTTTCTAGGTATGTGTAACACTTACCGGTGACACTGGAGAGAACAAATTAGTCTCTAAATGAGTTTGCATAAAACTTAAAGGGAGGAATAAAATTATTGGTCATATTCCTTTTCAGTGTTTGGCTGTGGGGTACTTACTTTTGTAAACCTTTTGTAATGTGGTGTCAGCAGCAATCCTGTAGAGTTTCCTGTTCCCTAGGAGAAGGGAATTTTAACTTCATTTATACTCTTTTCACATTGGGTGTTGTGGGAAGAGGTGGGAATTAAATGAGTGACGTGATGCACCATAGAAAACACTTCTCTGTAGCAGCCATGGCATTGCATTTTGACCTTGATTAGCTCCCTAAATTTTTCCTACCTAATTAAATACTCTTTGCAGTTTGCAAGCAAGAGTGTAGAAGAGATATTTGTATGATCTTCAGAGCATAATTATTATAAGGATATTTTCCTTGTTGATAGACATGGATTTCTAATGGTTCTGAAATAGTTTGTTCAGAATGTTTCAGATAACACTATCTTTTAAAATATTTAATCGCTTTAAAGACTGTGACATTGAACTTCATAGCCTTGATCTTATTTGCTTATGGTCATAGAAAATTTGTAACTTGGGTTTTGGACTGAACATTGTATGTTGTCAAAACCTGGTGGAGGGAGGAAGGGATTAATTTTATAAGCTTCCTACTATCCAAGGCAAACGGGAAGAATTTTTAAGGGGAAATGGTGACATACCTCAAATAGATCATGTATGTAAAGATGTGCTTTGTGCTAATTTTTTAACAAAGGCCACCTAAGATGTTGCACACTCCCCCCCTCCCCCCCCCCCCCCCCCCC